CTGCCAGCTACTTAATAATCTCATTATTTCTAGATTTTTTTGATACTGCATATTAAACCCAGGGCCTCATGCATGCTAAGCACATGCTCTACCACTGAGCTACACTCTAACCCTCCTTCTAGGTAAATGGCAGAAAAACACAGCTGTGGTAAATCCCAACCTGAGAATAACATCTGAAATCTTTCTGTTGTGTGGAGAAACACAACAGAACTGAGCAGCTACACAATAGACTAAAAAAAAAAAAAAAAAAAAAAAAAAAAGTCTTGTTGGAACAAAACCAATTAGCAAAGCCCGACAGTTATGTCTCTCTGGAAAGAAGCTATAAATATTTGGTTTTGAGTGCAGGGTACCTATGATATGTGGTCCTTCAGCCTACCACAAAGTAGAGTTCTCATTTTTGCAACTCATTTGCCAAGCAAGACTCAAACAATTTGCAAGAAAGTAAATTTGCTCGATAAAATAATTATACCAGAAACAGAGTAACTCAAGGTTGTTTAGAAAAGCATGGATAAACTACAGGAAAGAAGCATACATTATTAGCACATATGTAAATTGTAAGATGGTTAATGCAGTGACTGTGATTAAGCATTAAATCAGAGCTGTTATCTGGTTGCCAGAACAAAAAAGAACCACCCCCCCGAAAAAAAAAAACCAAAAAAAAAAAAAAAAAAAAAACAAAACAACAAAACCCCCCAAAACAACCCCTAACACTAACAAAATCTGTGAGAGGTTACTGAAGGAGAGGGACAGGAAAAATCTCTGACTTAAAATACGTAATTCTTGCATAATTATTTTTTCTTGTCACCTAAAAATTTTTTTTAGAATGGGGAGAATTAATCATTTGATTTTTTTTTTTTCATTTTTCTTTTACTATTCATATGTGCATACAAGGCTTGGTTTATTTCTCCCCCCTGCCCCCACCCCCTCCCTTACCACCCACTCCACCCCCTCCCGCTGCACCATGAGGCAGCCTAACAGTCTGAAGTCAGATGATATGGTAAAGACATAAACAGGGCCAGAACTGGAGACCAAGTCATTACCCCCAGAGCATGAGAGAGCCAAATCTCTGGAAATTTAAAACAAAAAGATCTTTACTTTCGAAAATTTCTAACATATTCAAGGTAGAAAGACTAATATGAACCCTCATGTCCGAGTCACTCGGATTCAACAACTGTATAGATCAGTCTTGGTATCTTTTACAGCTCTACCCACCTACAATCTTTCCGGACTACTTTGAGGCAAATTTCAGAGACCAAAAAGTTTATTTGCAAACAGCTCACTATGTATCTCTAAACGATAAGGACATAAAAATTTCACAATCACAGTTCCATTATCATGCTTAAAATTTTCTGGCAAATAATTTTAAAGAGTACCTATTTTTTCCTTAAATTTCCAATTATCTTAAAAGAGGCATACATGTTCTGGAAATTTTTATTGATACAGTATTAGAAATGTGTTTAGAATAAAACAAGCCCACAATACTTAACAAGCCAACAATACTTTACTAGTTGATGGGAAAGAAGAATGGAGATTAATAAAATGCCATTTATCCTGTAAATGGAGCACCGAATATGGGAAACTGCCGATCTCATTTCATCTTGTGTCAGTGCTCCATGTACAGTGATTTTGCATGAGGTAAAGCACTACTTACAGGTTAAAGACCACAATGTAAGCACATTTTAAATAATTCTAAACAAACAGGTTTTATATAAGGAATATAACAAAACATCTGAGACCTAATTTTAAAAAAACAAATTCACAAAACAGCCAAAAATAAACCTTGAAAGATGAAACAAACTATAACAGAACTTAAAATTTATATATGCTGCAAGACTTGAAAAGACAGTATTTATAAATAACAGCATTCCATGAAAAATGGAAATTTTTCTCAACTTGGGCAATCCAAACTAAATCCTATTCCCCAAACAGTGCTAACCCCAGAGAATCTGGGAGATTGGTGCTAATCACTGGAGCTTTTCATCCTCCACTATTCCTCCATGCTGCCACTGTTCTTGGCTGTGTGCCACAGCCAATCCCTGGCAGTCTGGTAATCCCTGACAAGTAAGAGTGCTGTATCAGCCAACACCATGATTAAGTGATGGTTTAATAAGGCCACCAGTTAGATCCACCCAGATCACTGCACTGAGAACAGAATGATTACTGGTGTGTACATATCAACTGGGTTTGATCCAGACACCTACCAACTGAGACTTCACTTCAAGTGATAATACAATAGGCACTCCTAATTCAGGAGTGTAAGTGCAATGTGCTGGTGTTAGAGATTATTTAGTACTGTCTTCTCTCAACTAAATTCAACTGAATGGGTATTTATCAGTCAACTATTGTATGCCCATTTGGTGCCATGAATATTCTGGGAGAAAAAATGGTGAAAACAGGTTTTCACATACAAGATCTCACTTTAAACTTTCAGGAACGCATTGATTATGTAGGGCTGGTAATACCCCCATTCTTTGTTAGAAACTGAGTGGTGAGGAAAGTTAAGTGACCAGTTCAAGGTCACACAACCAACAGAAGACCTGTTGGACCTGACTTTTAAATCCACGCCTGCTGGCTTCAAGTTCACAGTCCTCTGGCCTCAGCCTCCAAAGTGCTAGAATTATAGATGTGTGCCATAATGCCCGGAAACATTTGTTTTTTAATGGACCCGCAATTTTTTTGGGTGGCTGTGAGGTCTGAAAGTCAGAGCCTTGAGCTTGCCAGGCAGGCGTTCTACTACTCAAGCCATACCCCCACCTCTTTTTGCTTTGGTTATTTTTCTGATAGGGTCTCATACTTTTGCCCAGGGCTGGCCTCAGACTGAAATCCTCCATATATCTGGGATCAGAGGCACACCCTACCACGTTTGTTGGTTGAGATGGGAGTCTCACAAACTTTTGTCCTGGCTGGCCTAAATTGTGATCCTCCTGATCTCTACCTCCTAAGTAACTCAGATTACAGGTGTGTCCCACCATGCTTAGTCCCCTCAAAATTCTTGAAGGAGACTAATGTAGATTATGAGAAAAGTATGAAAAAAATAAAAAATTAGTTCATATAGGGATAACAGTGATTCCATTTTTAAAGCTGTTTAAGTATGTATCACCATGCAGGGCCTACTTTTGATGTGACAGCATTTCTGGTGTTTAAATAACTCAACAAACTCAGTGCAGGATAATTTTATTTACTCATATTCTACCAAATTTATATTTGTGATAATTTGAAGAGAGGCTAGACTGAAGTTCAACTTAAATCTAAGTAGAAAAAACCTATAGAGGTTGAAAATGTACCAGATAACAGTGTGAAATAAGTCCATTAAACAAAAGGAATGGACCTTTTGTCTCTTTCTCTCTCTTCTTTTTTTTTTTTTTTTTTGTGGTACTGGAGTTTGACAGGGCCTCATACTTGCTAGGGAAGCACTTTACAACTTGAGCCACACTCCCAGCTGAGAAATGGACTTTTTGAGTTGTTTAGAATCTAGCTGACTATGGTGGCATTTGGGAGGGTGAGGTGGAAGGACAGTTTGAGGCTAGACTGAGCTACACAGTGAGACCCTGTCTGTCTGTCTGTCTGTCTGTCTGTCTGCCTGTCTCTCTCTCGCTCTCTGTATATGCCTGAGACTGGGTCTCCATCTGTAACCTAGCTGGCCTTGAATTCCCAATCCTTTTACCTCAACCTCTTTAGTGCTGGGACTATAGGTGTATACTACCATGTCCTGCTCTTGAAATGTATTTCTTTAATTTATGGAATTTTGCTTTAGTCAGGAGTGATTTTTATTTTTATGTACAATGTATCTATAATTTTCTGAGACACAGCGAAAACAACCAACCAAAAACTAACTAACTAACACAACCCCTCTTTTCCAAAAGCATTATTTCACTGAGTGCTAGTTTTCACTGAGAGAAGGCATTAGAGGAATGACACCATTCTTTTAAGCAGGGTACCTATACTGAGAACAGACTCTCACATTCAGGTGATCAGGGTATTGGCCTCAAATCATAAAACAAAATGAAACAAACAAACAAACAAACAAACAAACAAAAAAAACAAAAACGAAAGCCTTCTAGTAACATTACACCTAAATGAAGGTTATACACAGTCACAGATATAAATGGGATTGAAAGAACAAAATCAACTTTAACTTAGTATATAGCATTGTTGGCCTTCACTATTTAAAAATATTTTATTATGATCTTACATGATTATTATTTCCATTTGGTGTTAAAATAGAATTGTTACTTTAAAACATTTTAAATACATTGAAAATTTACTATTCTTTTTTTTATTAACTAAAATAAGTTCTTAAATTACTGGAAAAGTAGCAAGCATGTCCCTAAACATGGGAGACAGAATCCATTGAGAACATTAAAAACCCTATCCTCTGGATTTCTGTACTTTCTAAAATAAATCCAAAAATGCAAAAAATCAACAGTTGGTTTTTCTTTTACTTGAAAGAAACTGGTCAAAGAATATGTAGTCACATGTGTTAGAGTCCTAAGTTCTGGCTACAGACTTCAATTTTCCTGGGAAGTAGTATTTCTTCTTTTAGGACCACTTGGTCAGTTTTTTTTGTTCTTATAGTTGTCAGGACACGTGGTTGTTAAGATGCCACAAGTCACATCTGTATGGTGCTACCTAGTTGTTAACAGATTTTAATAGCCCTCATTTCTCAAATTAACATCGTTAAGCAGGCATCTAACTAAAGATTAAGTTATTCAATTTGAGTTTGTATTATTATTTGGCAAGATAATTTCATGCATTCTTCATTTTCTAATCTAAAATGATTTTCATTCATTTTTATCGCATTATGCCTTTTCCTTTTTTTGAAAATAGGTGTTAGAAGGACTGAAAAGACCCAATTTACAAAACAAAACAATCCCATTACGTTCTATGGAAAGTGAAAATCAACAACCACAATAATAACAGTAGTGGTGGTGCTAGCAACAGAAACAAGTTCTAGGATCCCATAACTAAGTCAGAGGGAGAGTAGATTCAGGGCCTCTTACCAGGGTTGCAGTCTGTAAGAAGTGAGCAGATGGAGAGGAGGACTTTAGAGATGGTTAGTGCTGGGCTCCAGTTGTCCTTTAGGATGTCCAGACAGATCACGCCTTGGCTATTAATGTTACAGTGATAGATTCTTGTTCGGAAGGTAACCTGGAAAAATAGGCAAAATATTCTAGGTCACTGGTTAAAATACACTTGAATTTTCCTTAGGTGCTTAAACTCCAACAGCAAAACCAGAACATTCTGCTTCTAGTGAAGAGTCTTAATTGTCTGGGAACTCTTTTTTTTTTCTTTTTTGGTTTGCTTTTTTTTGAGACAGGGTCTTGCTATGTAGTTGAGGCTGACCTTGACCTTGAGATCCTCTGAGTGTTGGGATTACAGGTGTGTACCACTATGCCAGGCTTAATTTACTCCTGATGCAATTATAGGAATGTTCATGAGTATAACTAATAAAAAAATTATTCTATAAGATGATTTTAAAACATGAACTAGGACATGTATGTAAATATATGCCTTATTTATAGAACTACATGTCAATTCGTTATACTAGTAATACTGTACTACTTATAATTTACAGGTTTATTCCTTATTAAATTATACATTTTAAAATTTTTTATTTTGAATGCAATATTAGTGAAGCTTACTTTTTCCCTATGACAGCAAGATCACCACTATATTTTGCTTATGTATAATTTTGAAAAAATCAGTTTTGGTTATGTAAGTCTTATATAACAAGATTTTAATGCAGCTTATTAAGATTATGATTATAAATGGCCTCTAATTTGTAAGTTGAAATGTAAAAAAAACCTTGGTATTCTGAAGACCACCCTTTGGCACCCTAAGCTTAAAATAGCTTTGAACCAGGAAAAACTTCAGGTCTTTGTAGGTTTTGCCACACCACCAAGGGCATTCACCATCAGATGTGTATAATTTACATGATGTCAAATCTCACAGACCCAAAGTCTTCCAAGCTGATGAATATCACCATGCAGGCTAGATCAGGACTCCAGAACCAACTTTCTAGCACTATGCCAGACCAAATAACATTGATATCTTTCCCTACATACCTATCTTAAATGCCTAGCAACATTGAGGAATACATAACCAACATTCTTTAAAATGCATAGCTGATTCTGCAAGGGGAATCCTCAGAGGCCCAAACTGAAAACCAAAAATTACAGTAAGCACATGAGCTGACAGTGGCACTGTCAGGGGTGGGTTTGGAGAAGATGGAGAGGCATAAAGGATGGAAGTCAGCCTTATAAAATGAAGGTTTTAATTTTGATGCCCTCAAGGACAAAAGTGGTTGAAACCTGAGGCCTGTACGTGGCAAGGGGTTTGAAATAAGAACCTTTACATAGATCACAGCACTTAAGTATCTAGTCTTTCAGTAAATGGACAGACTTGAAAAGACATGCATTATAGGAGAGGCAACAAAGAAACTTGTCAGGGAAAAGCCTGTGCTCCGGATTGGGGAAAAAAATGTCTCCCAAGAAAATTCTAAATCATGGACAGGTATACTACGAAAAAAATGTCTCCCAAGAAAATTCTAAATCATGGACAGGTATACTACGCAAACATTAACTAAAAAGAGTACTTTCAGATCAGATGTATGTTCAAGGCAAAAAGCACTATTAGGAATAAAGACGGTCTCTGCACTATGAAAAAATGAATCATTCATCAGCGACCTGAATCTGTTATACCAAACAATATAGTCAAAATTACAGATTGGCAGGATAAGGAGAAAATGACCTATCTACAATTATGGAGAGACATTTCAAGACAGTAACAGATAGGTTAATTAAACCAAAAATTAGTAAGGATACTGAAAATTTGAACCACCAAATACATAAAATCAAAGGATCAGATGAATATAAAATTCTACATTTGACAATTAAAGAATACACATTCTTTTGAAGCATATAATATTTATAAAAATTGATTGTATGTTAGTCACAAACGAAGCTTAAGCTATTTCAAAGAATTGATATTTTAGGACTATAACACAAGGTCAGAATTTATACATGAAAAGATACTCCATGTATGTCTAGAAACTGAAAAACACATTTGCAAATAATGCAAAGAAAAAATCATTTATAGCTAAATGACAATGCAAATACTGGGCTGCTAATATCAAAATCTGTGATTTAGCCAAACCAGCAACACAAGAGACATATATAGTTTCAAAAGAATAGAGTAAACCTCATGGAAGAATAAGGACCTGAATAGAAGTTAATGAAACAGAGAATACCCAGTGATATACAAACTTCCACAGAAGTTAGACTGCCTAGTTCTTTAAGTGATAAAAGTTTTATGATCCAATGTACACGATGAGTGGCTTACATAATAGTATTTTTAAAGGCTGTCAGGTATTAACTGGTTACTCTAAGTTGACACAACTCAATGAGGGAAGTATTATTACAGCCACCTTAAAAAATGAAGAAACTGAGGTAAACAGTGTTTAAGAAACTAAAAGTGAGGTACAGAGTGTTTGAACTGATCTGAGGTTCCACATGTGCTGGTGGGGAAGCCAGTATTTGCACACAATTTTGCTGACCCCAAAAGTCAATGTTTTCTATAGATTATTAAAAGCTCTGATAAGAAGTCAACTATTTCTATTTGCAGATGATTCACACTTAAAAGACCCAAAAACTCCATCAAAAAAACTCCTAGACAGCATAAACACCTTCAGTAAGTAGCAGGATACAAAGTCAATTTACAAAAATCAGTAGCCTTTCTATATACACAATAAGCAGACTGAAAATGACATAGGAAACAATTCCATTTATAAGTGCCTCAAAAAATAAAATACCTGGAATAAACTTAACAAAGGAAATGAAAGGCCTTTACAATGAAAACTATAAACCACTGAAGAAAGAAATCAAAGAAGACCACAGAAGATGGAAAGATCTCCCATGCTCATAGATTGGCAGAATCAATATTGTGAAAATGAGATATATACCAAAAGCTCTCTACATGTTCAATACAATCCCCATCAAAATTCCAAGACATTTATCCCAGAGATTGAAAAGTTAACCCTAAAATTCATATGTAAGCACAAAGATCTTAATAGCTGAGGCAATACTGAGCAAAAAACCAACGCTGGAAGTGTCACAATTCCTGACTTCAATCTATACAACAGAGCCATAGAAGTAAAAACAGCATGGTACTGGGCACAAAACAGACATGAAAAACCAGTGGAACAGAATAGAAGGTCCAGATATGAATCCATGCGCTGCATCCACCTCATTTTTGACAAAGGTGCCAAAATATACAATGGGAAGACAGCCTCTTCAACGAATGTTGCTGGGAAAGCTGGCTATCTGCATGCAGAAACTGAAACTAGAGCCATGTCTCTCACCTGTACAAATATCACAACGCAAAGTAAATTAAGGACCTTAATATAAGGCCTGAAACTTTGAAAAGTACAGAAAGTAGTAGGAAATATATTCAAACATACAGGCATAGGCAACAACTTCCTAAATCGAACTCCAATGGCTCAGCAACTAAACTAAGAGAAAAGAGTGAACAAATGGGACTATATCAAACTAAAAGGCTTCTGTACAGCAAAAGAAAGACACTAGAATTAAGAGACTGTCCACAGAATGAGAAAATCTTTGCCAACTATTCATCTGCTAAGGCACTAATAGCCAGAATCTACAGGGAACTCAAAAAACTCAACTCCCAAAGAATCAACAACCCAAAGAAGAAAGGGGCATATGAATCGAACAGGAAATTTTCAAAGGAAGAGGTACAAATGGCTATAATAATATGAAGAAGTGTTCAACTTTTCTGGCCCTAAAAGAAATGAAAATCAAAAACTACACTAAGATTTCATCTCAACCCAGTTAGAATGGCCATCATCAAGAAGACAAACAATAGCAAAGCTGATGAGGGTGCAGCAAACAGGAACCCTATACACTGTTTTGGGAATGTAAATTAGTATAACATCATGGAAAGCAACATGGATTCCTTAAAAGACCTAAAAATAAACGCCATATGATCCAATGATACCATTCCTGGGCATATGTCGAAGGAATGTAAGTCAGGATACAATAGAAACACTTGTACATATGTTTACTGCAGCAATGCTTATAATAGCTAAGCTATGGAAACAACCCAGATACCCTACAACTGATGAACAGATTAAGAAAATGTATATATGTATATATACATACATACATGCACACAGAAAGGAGTTTTATTCAGCCATAAGAAAGAATGACCACGTGGTTTGAAGGTAAATGGATGCAATTGGAGAACACCATATTAAGCGAAGTAAGCCAGGTTCAGAAAGACAAAAGCCACATGTTTTCTCTCATGTGGAAGACATATCCGAAAATAAACACATATACAAAACAACATGATCACACACAAACTTATACGTAGAACATGTTTGTAATATATTGGAACTATCTATGGAACTTAGGGAGGAGGTAAAGAAAAAGAGAATGATAGTAAACAATACTGAAATACATTACATCTATGTAGGTAGAGGATGTAACATATGTATTGAAAACTGTTGATAATGGGGGTGGGAGGGAAGGAGTACAGGACAGTAATGGAAGGGGCTGAAATGTCAAAGGAAAGTGTACTCATAGTGGGGTACTTGGAGAAACCCTTTGAACATTGACTTTGGAATCAATGAAAGACAGGACTGTTAAGTATATATGGGGTGAGTCATTGGGGGAGGGTGAATGGAACAGATAAAGGTGAGGGATGTGGTTGACAGGCTCCGTATATATATATGAAACAGTGATGAAACCTCTTCCAATTGCTTTAAGTGGCGCAGGGAGGGATTTGGTGGGAGTTTAAAATGTAAATTGTACAATGTAAGGTTATTCAGAATTGTTGCAATGAATCTCCCCTGCACAATGAATATATCATAATAAAAATGGAAAAATAAAAATAAGAAAAAGAAAACTAAAGTCAGTATGCAATAAAAAGATTATTATTTCAGGAGATTATGTAAAAATTAAACCAATAGTAAATGATAGTAAGAATCTAATAAGCACTCATATAACATTTTTATTTTTGCTAAATTCTATTTAAATGTGAAAGAGAACATAAAACATGTGGCCTAGTCATATCAGCAAATGTGTTCCACAATCAAGGCAAAAATCACTAGTAAAAGTTTTGGGACAACCAGC